CGTTACGAGCCACCATTTAGCCTGCACAAACGTTAATTTTTAAACTAGGCATCGCTATTTAGCCATGACTCAGCGCACGCCCGACATTGCTAACCGATGTTAGTTTAGCACGAGCAAAAGAGGTAGTTTAATTCGATCAGAATAGTTTATCCGAATTTGTAACCCCGCTTTGGGTTGTGTTCACAAAAGAACCTGGAATACAATGCTCATCGGAGTGAAACAGTTGAAGCATGATTTACTGGAGGCGTCTTGAACGGGAAAAGTGTGCCGGAAATAGCAGCGAGTTTGATTCGGAAGTGGAGGTGACAATTACAACATGACAGCACACATTCTGCGGCGTGCGTATTTATTTGGATACAATGGAAGTACGAATAAGTGGAACCACGAATGGAAGCACGAACTTTAGCACCGATAGGGAGAACCGGCAACAGTTGTATCAGACGTTTCCTAATTTGATACATAAGGGCGTTTCATCGCGAATGAACCAGGAATGCCTGCTACGATTGCACCGGTGTGTTGTTGTCAGCCCGCTTATGAGATACTCTGATTCAATCAATCAATCAATCAATGAAGCTTTATTTTCATAAATAGATATATGCAATTACAGGGATTATTTGGACCGATAGCCTAAAGTGGCTAGGGCCAATAGTGGCTAAGGTACTCGGCTGCTGACCCGCAGGTCGCGGGTTCGATTCCCGGCTGCGGCGGCTGCATTTCCGATGGAGGCGGAAATGTTGTAGGCCCGTGTGCTCAGATTTGGGCGCACGTTAAAGAACCCCAGGTGGTCGAAATTTCCGGAGCCCTCCACTACGGCGTCTCTCATAATCATATGGTGGTTTTGGGACGTTAAACCCCACAAATCAATCAATCAATCATGTGTCAATTTGTAGCGACAGCGAAGGGCCTGTTGACACACTGATACTTCTCGTGACGAAAAAAAAAGTTGCGAACTTTGCGATCTTGAGGGAAGGTGACGTACGTGGAGAATGGCACCAGAGCACTCTAGGGAAGACACGAGAAAATGGAACAGAACGTAATTGCGAACGCCCACTTGTTTCTTTTTGATTTTTTATTGATGCGCTGGTTTTTTGTAACATTAGCGTTGTTATTTGGGTTGACTCATGTGGTATATATCGACGCTGTTCTTTGTTTTTTTTTTCATTTTGGCATAAGGTTTTGCCTGAAGGTTTAATGGTTTTCTTATAGGGTCAATCACGTGGAACTACCGCGTAATTAAGTTCAAGATTGGTATACGCACGTGATCGCCTCCAACCCTTTCTCTCTTAGTGTGAAGTGACTGAAGTTAGATTTCTGTGAGAGAAAGAAAAAAATAAGAAAAGATGGAAAGAAGGAAAAATCACGAAAGAGAGAAGGGAAGACAAGGCGAATATTGGCGGCGTGCTTCGCTGGCACAACTACAAAACGAAGTTTTTGTAGAACAGAAAGCCACTGATAGGTGGCCACACCATCTAGTTATAGTTAGGGTTAGTCTAGTTTTAGTGAAGCGTTGGCAAGACCCGTCTTCTCGATCGCCAGAGCAACGTAAGAAGCACTGCGGTCTTTAGAATTACGTGTTGTAAAAAGCATTATGTTCCCATATTCCCGTTATGTTCCGATTATGTTCCCACAAGAGCACAGATAGACAGACAGTCCGAAATTTCCGCGTCGGACTATCCCAAGAGACACTATAGTCCTTAAAATAGTATGGTAAAAAAAGAATGGAATTGTGCACTAATGCGCTAAAGATTAGGGGGATGTGGTAAACAAGAACGCTCTTCAATCAACCAAGCACAAGACTCGAGTCCACCAAGAGCAAGACTATATAACTTTTCGAACAATATAACTTTTTGAACAAAGCGGTAAAGTGGTAGCTATCGCCACCTTCAATTGTAGCTTTATTAAAATAACGATGAAATAAATTATTGCATAAAAGAAATAAACAATACATTTATTATTACTGCTTCTAATAACACAGCATATAGGAGGAATGAAAGGAAAAGTCATGCGGAGGAAATTAATGTTAAAAAACGAAGTGGTGTTGCAATAACCGTGAATTTTTTATCATGGCGCATGCACTCCTTTGCTGTTTTTCAGCACATTTTTCATATTGTAGAGCTTCAACGAAAAAAAAAGTGATGAAAAAATGTAAACTTGCTGCGAATCTGTGCCGAAAACTTTCCCGGGAGCTACATGATCAGGCCCCAAGTTCCGTTTTTACATTTCACTTTTTACTTTTTTTTTCACAAATCGTGGAGCGACCTTGCCTTGCGTCGCATTCCTCGGGTTACGAGGAATTGCCGGCTGCGTCGCGCAGTTCGGTAATCTATAATACGGAGAGAAAGAGAAAGAGAATTATTTTAATGGGAAGCTGTAGAGGAGGTCGACGTATACGATGCTTTGAGTAAACTGTTTCTTCTCTTCATAGCTTCTCGTTTTGTTTTGCTACTTATTGCGCTGCGATGCGCCCGCTAGAATTGCACTTCCAATGTCAGATGGCGGTGAAATCAAAGTTCAAAAATGTAAGAAATCAACACTGCGACGTTGGGACGACGAAAAGAAAACAAAAACTCACTCCACTAAGAGTGATTGATCGATGCTGATAACGCCTTGGGATGTGTGGTAGAACGCAGTGCAAATGTTGGGGAAGCCTACACCTATGCCAGTTTTGGAAAGTCAAGGCCACGGCTGTTGAAACGAGCGCGTCTTTCAGACGGCGCTGTTGTGTGCACGTTTCGTAAAGGCAGATGTGAAGTTTGCCTTTTCATTTTTTGCCCTGTTTCTTTTCGGAAGAACGATGTGTCATACAACCCTTTTGTGAAAGGGGAGATATTTTGAGGCAGTATCAACTCAACCGTTAGCAATCTGTGTCTGACAACGTATGCATTCTTTACACACAGTGCGACATAGTTAAAGTTGGATGAGTATCATTTTCATGATTGATTTTATTTATTTATTCATACAATACCGCAGATCCTATTTGGGTCCAAGCAGGAGGGCAAATACATGAATATATATATATATATATATATATATATATATATATATATATATATATATATATATATATATATATATATATATATATATATATATATATATATTATATATGAATAGCAATCACAAAAAAATGAAAGGAGAAAGTCACAACTAAGTAAGATGTACACTGAAGAAATACGAAAAACATAATCAATGAAAACAACGTCAGAAATAAATAACAGTAGTAAGAACACATTGCATGCGTATAAACATTTGCCTATACCCCCGCAAGACACTTGAAATAAAAAAAGAATTGAAATACAAAAAAAGGAACACTGAAATAAGAAATGAAAGATTAATCAACATGACAATGGCGAAATATGAAGTAGATATATGTTCAATGGAATCTGCGCTTATTAGTTGTGATAAACGCAGATTATTCCAATCTTTTATAGTGCGCAGAAAAAAAGAATATTTGAAAAGGTTAGTTCTGGTCTTATATGGTGTTTAAGAAAATTCGTGACGATGCCGTGTTCGACGTGCTGCAAGTGGTGTCACATACGCGTGTGGGTTCAGAGAGAAAGAGTTGTTTTTCAGTCGGTAGAGAAATTTTAGCCTGTGTATTTTCCTTCGAAGCTGAAGTGTCTGGATATTATGTTCTTTCATTAGGCTAGTGGGAGAGTCAGTTATTCTATATTTAGAAAAAATGAACCTAACTGCTTTGCGTTGAATCATCTCTAGAGTGTTTATGTTAGTTTTTGTGTAGGGATCCCATACGATGCTTGCATATTCTAGTTTCGGGCGAATGAGTGAAGTGTAGGCTAGCATTTTAGTATAATGAGGAGAGTGCTTTAGTTTGTGCCTGAGGATACACAGTTTTTTGAAGGAAGAGTTACATATGTTGAAAATGTGGTTATTCCAATTATAATTTTTTTATTATTATTTTCTTGTTATTAATTATTTTGTTATAGACATGTAGACTGTTTTTTTCTTGTTCAATTCCATACCCCATCGCCCGCACCACGACAAGATGTTTTGAAAGTTAGAATTAAGCATTAATTGATCATTAAGAGAACAAACTTCGTTAAACACTATACAATCGTCTGCGAATAGCCTAATTTGAATAGGGGAAAAAGTTTCGTTAACTATGTCATTTATATATATTAGAAGTAGTAAGGGTCCCAAAACACTACCCTGGGGTACTCCAGACGTTACTGAAAGTTCATTAGAAGAGTAATTACCGATTGATACAAACTGTTTGCGATTATACAGATAAGCTGCTACCCAGTTAACTATGTATGCGGGAAAATCAATTGACTGCAGTTTTTCGATAAGTTTACTGTGAGGAACAAGATCAAACGCTTTCTTAAAGTCCAGAAATATCACGTCGATTTGGCTCGACTTGTCAAGTGTACTAGCAAAGTAGTGAATAATTGTCGTTAATTGTGTTACAGTCGATAACCCTTTGCGAAAACCATGCTGGTGAGGAGAAAGTATATTGTTATTATTTAGAAACTTTTTTATTTCTTTAGCAATAATATGTTCAACTAATTTGCAGCACGTGGACGCTAATGAAATGGGTCAAGGACAAGTTCGTTTCTATTTACCGCCACCGGCTGCGTCTTCTTGATCAGTATGGCTAACGTTTGGAAATTGTGCCAATTGTGTGCCTATTAGACGCTACCGTGGCTGCCTTGTCCCGCTGACAAGTGGTTTACGCTAACACACGTGTAAAAACAACCGTGTGTTTTGGTAAAGTAAGGCGATGTGTGTGTGGGGGGGTTGAACTAAACAGAAAATACACGTCGCTGAATTAATGTCTGCCTATTTGTCTACTTGTGGGTCTCACAAGGATAATTAGTCTGTGGCGCCTGATTATGGGCTTATTGTCTTTTGCCATCTTACTCGCAGGTTTCCTGTTCGAGGGACCATGACAGGTGAATCTACGAGACACCGATGCCCGCAGAGCCGCTGAAACCAGTCCAGGACAGGGGCTGAAGAAAATAAGGAATTAGCAAATAGCTATGGACTTGAAGAACGTGACTCCCACCTCGAAAGAGTTCGCATGGGACGTCACCGGTGAGCTGGTGGAGCCCAATGCCTGGACGAGTCCAGTCCAGGTCGCCATCGCCGCACTGCTGGTGTTCCTTCTCTCCCCCGTAGTTCTGTGCAGCAACGCTCTCCTCTTACTCTCCATGTATCGCTTCAAGAGACTTCGGACTCCCAGCAACCTCTTTCTAGTCGCCCTGTTTAGTGCCGACTTCGGAATTGGTCTCCTTTTGCCACCTGGACTGTACTTTGAGTTCTCCCGACCGGGAATCCGCTGTTCCGCACTGTGTCTCCTCCCGTACTGCCTGTTGATCCAATTCAGCGGCGTGGCCATGCTCAGTTCGGCTGCCGTGGCACTGGACCGCTGCACCTCTTTAGCCTTGCCACTCACCTACAACAATCTCATCACCCACCGCACTGCCGGGCGCGCAGTCCTGACCATCTGGGTCTACGCCATTTTGGTCTCCGGTACGCCGCTGCTGACACTCCCACCGCTCAAGTCACCATGTAGTTTCAGACTAGTCTCGACTCCGGTCCGAATCTTCCTACTGTGCGCTTTCTACCTGCCGTGTCTAGCCGTCATGACGAGCAGTTACGTCTACGTCTACGTCGTGGCTCGGAGGCATGCCCGGGCCATCTACTCCGTAGAGAACAACCTGAGGACCACGTTGCCTCCAGACCGTCACTACGGCTGGACTCTAACCCTGACCGTGGCGTCGTTCGCGTTTCTCTGGACGCCCGTGGCCGCCTTCGTGGTCTTAGAGGCCACGTCGCAAGAGCAGTACGACCAGAAGGCCACGTTCTACCTGGGTCTTGTGGGCCTCGGAGCCAGTTCAGTAGACCCGCTTCTGTACGGCTTCCGGAACTCCGAGTTCCGGGCCGCCCTCCTGCGCATGCTCAAGGAACTGCTCCCCCGGATGTCTGGGGACTTCCTCGGGGAGAGTCCCAGCGCGCTGCATCGGAGTCGGTGCGGGACTGCATCTACACTTAGGCCAGCCGGTGCGAGTACGACGTTGCCGCCGTTGGAGACGGACTGTTCGGCATGCACTAGGACGCTGATCATGATGGATTTGAGGCCTGTCAGCTACGTGTGAAGAAAAAAAAAACAGATTGTGCGCGTGCCCGAGAAGTGTTCTAACTTTAGGGTTTGTGTGATATTGGTCAGGGTGTGTGCGATGCCTTCTAGACACTAACGCTACCCTCTGTGGTGGTCTACTAGTTATGACGCTTTGGTGCTGATTTTAAGGTCGTGGGCTCGAGTCTCGGCCGCACTTGGATGGAGACAGAATGCTGGAGGCCCGTGTTCGTAGATTTAGGCACACGTGATAGAACATCAGGTGGTCGAAATTTCTGGAGCCCTCCGCTATATGGCATCTATCATCATATACTTGTTTTCGTGTGTAGAGACTCAGCAGTTATGATGATTACGTGTGGCAACATGGCGTCGTGGGCATAACTGATCATGAATCATGGAGAAGAAAAGCACCACGTTCAAAAAAGCAGTAGGACGTGGTGCAGGACCGCACTGCTTACATATTAGGACGCGCAGTGAAATATAACAATAGTAGAAGACGCTTTTGACCTTCCCTTGGCCAGTTAGTATGTGAGCATTTTATTTACACTCTCTGCCTAACGAAATGCAGATGCTACAACCGAAAATCAAAACCGTTTCATTTTGCCTGTCAGCACGTCGGCGTCACCATTGAACCAATAGGGTGAATTGATTTGCCCAAGGGCTGGGTGCGCCATGCAATGAAAATTCATCAACGATTGATAACAATCAGTGTTTGGTAACGTCAGTACACCATCGAACGCCCATATTAACTAAACAGGGTATCATCATACGAACGATAGGGCGATGCCACAGGCCATCAGCTAGTATACATATATATGTTAAGTTGATTACAGTACTAACGAACAACGCTTAAAGGCAAAGCAAAAGCAATTAAGTTGACAATGTGGTAAACATGAGCGCTCAATTGTAAGTGATAATTTTTGGGCCAGATCACAGAAGCAAGCAATGCTTGCAAAAGCTAGTCACTCACGTTTCTGACACCTAATCCTGTACGGGTCTGTTGTTTTCTTTTTTTACAAATACGGGTTTTCTAAAAAAACAGGAATTACCTCAGTCACATCTCGCGTGCGTATTTTCTTTAATGTCACCATCAACCTACCAACAGCGGGAACTCTGCTGCCTTCAGGCACTGCAAGCTGCTCAATACTGCTTCATCCTGGCCAGGCATATTTCTGCCGGCTAAATGCAGTGACATAACACTGACAGCTTCCCAAATTCAGGCCGTGGGCCTTTTGTGTCTAGAAGGCAAGACCCTACGCACTTGTTTTGTTCTTTGAAAAAAAAAAAGAAAACCTGCGCTGCCCATGGTTCGCCATCCTCGCTGTTGTCCGAATGCAAGAGCTCTTAACGACCCACTCTGCACTGCGACTGGTTTCGGGCATTCGGTTGCAATATCGCATCACGGGCTGTGAACGTGTAGTGTAGTGTGAACGTGCATGCCGTGTTGACACTGGAGTTGCTCGATGTCTTTGAAACGAATGAACAAACAAAAGAAAAAAGGGATGGCAGGGGGAAATGTTCTTGCCAACGCGTGACGAAGCACGCGAGTTCCTGTCGGTGCTTGTGAAATCATTCTTAACGTGTGGATATTTTGTTGGTTAGCTATCACTCTAGCTGGGAAAGGTGACGTCAGCTGAATGTCAAAGAAAATGAACGAGCAAAAAATTGTGCAACGTAGCAGTCAGAGGTTCCATATTCATGTAACTTCCCCGGCGTTGCCTAGACGACCAAACATATGGCACTGCCTTGTTTTAAACAGTGCGTGCAATATTAGGAGACACTGACCACACATTCTCAATAAAGTTGCACCTAGAATGCTAAATATAGCCGGAAAACTAGACATTTTTTTTAACGATGGAGCCCAATGTTAGGCCTAGGGTGGGAACGGAAAATTTCTTAGGAGTAATCGGTCCTTTAATTATGGCACGTTGCTCAGCCGGCATGCGTTCGCTTCACCTCTTTTTTTATCTTCTAAACAGTTTGCTAAACGAAGTTAATTAATGTTGTTTTGTAAAGAAAACAATGATAACTACGGACATACTAATTAAATATCGTGGCAATTAAGATATTGCTATTTAGGACCGAGCTAATAAATATGCTGATAACTCATTTCTTCCCGCTACCACGACGACACTTCGCAAAGCAATATCGCTCATCGCTTTGCGCAGCTAAGCCTTGCTACGGTTAGCTGAAACCCTAGCAACGGCTTAGCCGAGCTTGTTAAAAGCCAATAGAACAGTGGTAGACCACATCGCCGCCTTTAAGCTAGCGTCGCTCAACCAGTGCACGCTGTCCACATCAAGAATTTTCCTAATGTATGAAGAAGGGACTCTGACACTGAGACCTGCTCAGTGACCACGGGAATTATGGGTAGAACACGGATACGCCTACTTGTGGACGGTGAATTGCACTTGCGGTTTCGTTCATTGCTGCGTTTTGGTTTTGTTTCGAAGAAAAACAAATCGACCCTATTAAACTTCCTGACCCGATTAGAAATGGTAGGCCTAAAAGACACGGCGCCAGAAGTAAGAAGATCAGACAAATTCGTGTGGTACCCGTCATTTCCATGCTCGCTAAAGCGTCGTGTGTTGAAGCTCCATACACACTAGCTGCAGAGTTATCTCTGGTGCATGTTTAGGAAACTCCATGGCCCACATGTTTTGGTCTAGTTTCCTGGTTATTGAGCGGACTTTGTCTGTAACCTGATCGAGAATGTAGGTATTATAGTACACAAGTTCTGGGGAAGGAACTGCTCTAATGTCTTCCTAAGCTTTTTCTAACGCGGTATCACGACGTCAGTGGTGACTGTTCATGAATGCTGACCGCCATTAGATAATATCAGCCGGCGTAAGTTCTTCACATTTATAACAGCAGCGCTAATATGTATCTCTCCAACTCCTTCAAATCAAGTTTTCTTTTCTTAATTTTTATACTTATTCTGTTGACTTGGACAAATGACTGCGAAACGAAAGTTGTTTTTACGAAAACTCAACTGGTTCACAGTCCTGAATTTAAGAATGGTAAGAACTTTTTGGTGAAATATGAAAAAGCGCAATTCCGCAAAACAGCATACTACAATACAGCATCTAGAACATGAACTGAGAAAACTTTTTTGTGACGTATGGTTACAAGAATTGTTATTCAATACGTAGTGATCAAGTAATAAAGCAATCTTTAGAAAACTGAACATCCCTATACTGCACATATAACGTGGGATACGTAATCTGTAAAATTCATCTGCAACGGAAGTAAAGCAAGGGCAAAGAACAACATGGTACGAGATCATTAGATATCATAGAGCAAGAAAGATAGAGAAAGAAGCAATGGGGATAAGGTAATTAAGCAAGCACATGCTAGGTCATCCACTCTACATGTGACGGGAAAGCAAAAAAGAAACTGACAAAAAGGACAAACAAGGAAAATTGCAGTGAAGAAGTCAGCTTGAAAAGAGAGAGCACGGACAGGTTTCAGCAGTTCACAAACGCTTGTTGAATACATTTGACTTAAGGGAGCAATATTGTCGGCTTCGTAGAATGTGATATAAGTAACGGTTAGTGAAGCAGAGTACATGTAGGAGAGAGGACATCGAAAGAAAAACAATGGAAAGGCACAGAAAAGGTTAACCAGACACAAAATTGTAGAAATCATAATACAGCAATCAGCGTTGACTATAACGGCATCGATCTGCTCTGTCATACTGTACATTGCTTTGTAAATAGCCACCAGAGTTCACCATGTGCATCGGGGTGTTTTCGTATGACCAAAGCCAATACAGTCTTCCCTGGTACTTAATAATGTAAATATGTGCATACGTATGTGTATATGTCAACCCCATGTGGCACGGATGTACTTAAAACCAACGGCAATGAAGAATTCGCCTACGTCGAAACAGTGTCCTGTGTACGAACATTGTCTGTTTCCATATCTTAGTTTCCATTAGTTTGTGTCAATCATGCGAATCTAAAGAAGTTGTGAAAGAATTCTCGCATAGCTATTGGTATTATTGGTGCATTCGCACGTAATTGTAGGACGTGTACGATTTCAATTTTTTTTTTTGAAATGAAGATGAACTGCATATCGTGCCCAATCTTTCCGAGAAAATGAGTCAATATATAATTGGCGCCTTTTGAGGTCATTATTTGACTTTATTATGCTGAATGACGTCCAAACTTTTTTCGGAGATTTCGTTTTTCTGATATACTAAAGATGATTGTGTAAAATCGTGTAAACGCGTCGAGATGCCCTCTCATACCTGTTGTAAGGCATACGGGGTGTTTTTTAGCAATACAGATTTTTATTTAGAGGACTATAATAGTTAGGCACTTGTCATTTTGACAGACAATTTGTCGATTTCGCAGCAGATTTTGGAGCCTATTTTCGTCTGTTTGTTCAAAGAAAAAATAAATGTCAGTGTGTTCTCTATCATTCTCAACTTCTGTTTGAGTGCTTTATTTGACAGGAAAGTCACATCTGTTTACTGTACGATAGAGACGCGGCCAGAGCCGATGCCTCGACAAGATACAGAAGACATCGAAGGCTTAAATTTCAGTTTTAATTCCCACCGGCTTCTTAAGTGGCGATTTCATTTGGTCCAGAGGGACTGCACGCGCTGTAAGCACACTTTTGACAATAAGCACGAAAATGGAACTTCACCAGCTGTAGATTCAGCAGGGTGTCTGCTGGAGTCCATTGCATTTTAAACTTCTGACTTATACTTTATATGTTTTTGTGGACAATATCAATCGGCAAGAAGGTATACTGAAATATAATCCCACACATGATGGCATAGCCAAATGGAACACAAGAACCAGCTTCAGTATGCAGTAAAAAAAAACTAGCCCATCTTTCCCTAATATTTTCAATATTAAGGAAAGATAAATGGAAAGAGAAACTCAGCTGTATGGATTTTTTCTCATACGAGAAAGGATTCATACAGCTGAGTGTACAGATTGATGATGTAGTTTGATACCAGAAATATAAAAGCGAACGTGAAGGAAACACAAAACGAAATGTTTTTTT